GCAGCAGCTGCTCGCACAGGTACGGGCGGGCCGAGGCCGAGCCGGCTTCGGGGGTTGGGGCGAGGCCGGTGTTTCACTGGCTGCCCCTGCCTTGCTCGCTGCAGAGGCTGAAGGCCGCGGTTCACTACACGGTCGGGTGCCTGTGCCAGGAGGTGGAGGAGGACAAGGACGTGCGGTTCAGCAAACAGAGCATCGCAGCCATCTCGGAGATCACCTTCCGGCAGTGCGGTACAGCGGGGTTACCTGCGGCTGCTCACCGCAGCGCCTGGGTCTGTGCAGGAGCCGTGGCTGGAGGCACAGGGCTTCCAAAATCGAACTAAATGTCACCGGGGCATTCTCTTGCATTATATTTTTTTAAGTACAAGAAATGCTAGTTCAACTTTTCAGACCTGATAAAAGCATTTATATGTATGAGGGAACATTGTGTAGCTACCTGCTTGTGTACGAGTGGTGCCTAATACCCAGCTATGGTCACCTCTCTTAATTGATTTGGATAACTTGTGTATCTCTTCCCACCCAGTATTTTAAAATATATGACATCTTTGTGTTTTCTCTAGAAATCTTTGCAAAAGACCTCGAAATGTTTGCAAGGTATGCACCGATTGTTACAAAGGTTTTCCGTTTTTTTGTGTTAGCTCCTAGATAATCTTTAAAACGTCTCTTGTAATTCAAGCTTTAAAGGGCTTGGCTGGCTGCTTAAATAGTGTCTGTAAAGTGATGAAATAGAAATTCCCTGTAGGTGCTTTTTGATCTTGGCCTCTTATGGTCAGTGTTGGCAAAAATGCTAAGGGGTGTTTTTTGATTTTATGCAGGCATGCAAAACGAACCACAGTCACGACAGAAGATGTGAAGCTTTTGACTAGAAGAAGCAATTCTTTGGTGAGATGCACTGTATTTTCTGTCTTGCAACATTGCAACACATGCAAACCAGTTAATTCCTAAAAGCATTTGAATGAAGGTTATACATGATGAAGCAACTGTTGCATAAGAAGTTTCACTGTCTTCCTGAGGTAGATAGGCACAATCCAGTAATTTCTAAATTTTCATCTTATTTTGCTTCATGCCACTCTGCCTCGTTGTGGTGAGGTGTAACACAGATCTGATTGCAGTTCAAGCAGCAGTGCTCTCGTTGCACCAGGCCTGCTGAAGTTCCAAGTTCAAAAGTGCAATAAGCAGACCCAGCATTGTGAATCATTTTGCTTTGTTCCTGGTGTGTTTCTTTGTTGCAGCCTCAATAGCTTGAGTCTGCCTCGGGGTGCTGAGTTAATACTGCTCGAGGTGCAGCATTAATACAGGCATCACAGAATCATTTTATTCCCTCCTGTGCTGATCTATATGATGTTCAGTGGATGAAACTCACTGATGTGTTAAGACATGCCTGTATGTGGATCCATGAAAAATGCTTTCAATACTAATTTTATTTTTATGTAAGGAGATTTTTTTCCTTTCCACATGTGATTTGAAGTACACAACAAGAACTTGTCTGAGAAACCAAAGTAAATGTTTTTTGGAGTCTGTCATGTTTCTTGTAATAAGAATTTGCCCTGTTAATTTCTCTTCAGTATTTCTTTCTAATGTCTTGTGAATTAATTAAGTTCCTCAGCAGAGTACTGATTAGCTTATTGTTCCCAGCTAAAATATATCACTCAGAAAAGCGAAGAGCTTGCATCAAGTAACATGGAGCAGAAAGAGAAGAAGAAAAAGAAGTCCAGTGCAGCTAAGGGAGAGAGAACTCCTGGGGAACAAGAAACAGCTGTGACTGAAAATGAAGATTCCAGCATGGCATGATTTATCTTTCGAGTAATGTTTCAGGACATTTTCTCTTACTATCCTAGAGAAACCAGACTTAGCTTATTCATCTTGCAGGTTAGCTCCAGTAATGAATCTTTAGGTTTTCAGGTGAATGCCACTGGATTTTTATTGTTCCAAAAATTAAGTCTGTCAGAATTCAGTAAGCTTACAGCCAAAATGCCTTAATTGCTCACAAAAGGTATCTGCTATTAAAATTAAAATACTTTAAATAAAGAGTTTGAAATAGACCATTTTCACTGAGCCATAACTCAGTATGTGCAACACCCTTCATTCTGCTACTTTATTTCTCTAGTAACTCTGACTTTTTCCTTGCTTCCAATTTTGCTATTTTTGCTCAGGCATTTTGCATATTTTGTTTTTAAGAAGCCATATCTCTTGCTCGTTGCCTTGACATGTAAAGTGTTTTTTGCTGTTTCCCCGCTGTGGCACTGCTGGGCTACAGTTGTCACTGCCAGTAATTCCCATTTTCAGGTGGCACCGTGGCTGCAGAGCAGCAGGCAGGGATCTCACGAGCCTCTGCTGGGCTGGCAGAGCCTTACCCAGTGCAAAGGAACTGTATGAGAATGAAAATAATTAGTCAAAGGAAGCAGATTTCTAGGGGTAGCACAGCCATCCATGCGATTGCAGAAAGACTGGAACATAAAAAGCTTGTACTAAGTCCCTGTTCAGAACACCAGGAAACCTTTTTACCTGCCATGGCCTATAATGTTATGATCTGAAAGTGTATATGGGCAGAAGCAAAACAGACAAAAAGTTGCCTGCAAGCTTCTCCCGTAAGTCCAGTCAATTCCCATCTGGGTAGCTTCACCTGAAGGTAGCCTGGGTAGTTTTGTTTATCAGCTTTAAGTCACTAAACTGTTTAGAATATTTATTAGTTGCACTAACTCTGACTATGCCATAGTTAAGCTGGGCTGTTGCATGCAGTGGGTTCACCTGGATGCCTGCTGTAGGAATACTTACCCTGGGCCATTTAAGGCTGTGCTAGATCAGAGGATGTAGCATGCTGCTACAAAACACATCTGTACCTACTAAAACTTTCTCAGAAGTTTCATTTCACTTGTCTGATTTTTTTCATAGACATCTTCTGTTCTCATATGAGAAGAGCAGATTGTGCCAGGTGAGAGTTCAAGTGCAGTCATCATGATGAACACACATTCTGCCTAAACATTTTGGATAAGTTAAAGACAGTACTTCTGCAATTTCTTCATCCTCTTTCTTTACAGCAATACTGTATTTATCAGCCCGTTCTTTAATTATAGCAGCTGGTGGAAATATCAAAACTAGTCCAACAGTAAGATTAAAAGGTTTTATTAATATTAGAAAAAAAGGCTTTAATAAATTTAAAAATAAGCCAGTTAATACAAAAGCATCATGATGCTACACTAATGATTAGGAGAACAAGACAGCAGTCCAAATGCAAGTCTTCTGTCACACAGCATTACAAAGCAATTATTTCCACCTTTACTGTGTTTTACATGATAGTTCTTACACAGCATCCAAGAGGCAGGAGTTCCTCACAGAAAAATCACTGAAGTTGAAGGACTTTGAATTTACTTTAACTGATTAAATCAGCGTGAGAATTCAAGTTCCTAGATCCCAGGCTGGAGCTTAAAGCCAGGCAGCAACTGGCTAACCCCTCTGCCCTGATCACTAACTGTGCCTCAAAGTGTCTTCCAGAGATCCTCCATCCTTTTTACACTGAAAATGGTAGGAGAAAAAAGTAAGCAAACTGCCTGGGGCTTCAGGAGTTGTATCCACATTATCAGATGGAAGCTGCTGGCTACCAACCATGTACTGAAAGCCAAACACTTAGATGCTGTGCTTAGCAATACCATTGTTCTAGCACTCTGCAAAAAGTCAAAATCCCTTTGCTTACACAAGTCAAATCACCAGAGGAGTTTAAGCCTCAGGACAATGTCCAGATTTTAGTTGTATGTGTGTATCTATAGCCAGACCACAGTATGACCAGCAAACTATGGTTCCCAGGATGTGTCTTTGCTTGTATTGATTCTAATGCAAAAGCAAAAGCTAAACTGCAAACAGCAATGCAGTCTTATTTTTTGCGTTTTGCAGTGGGCCAGTCCCCCCAGGGAAGCGTTTTCTTGCCCTTGGATGTGCTCCGTAGGGAATGCAGAGTCTGCACTTGTTTGAGGCGCTTGGAGAGCTCCTGATCACAGGCTTCCTGCAGAGCTCCAGCTTTCTGCTTGTCCCACCCCAGAGCCGAGGCCAGCGCTGCTACATCTTCCTTGGACACCAGCTGCAGCAAGACACATTATTAACAGTCTTTTCTAGTGACCCCCCTGGCCACTAGCCCTCTGCTGACATTAACAACAGCAGGAAACAAAGTTTAGTACTGGCACTTTGGGACTGGAGATCTTCCCAGCTTTCATCACCTATCCCGTGGGCTAGTGGATTTTCAATAATTTGTCAACACTCAGTGCTTGAAGCTCTGTTCAGGTGTTCAAAGGAAGAGAAAGCAGTTACATATTTTCTACAGCAGGGAAAATTAACAGTAGCAAGTTGACAGCTTAAAAGAACACCTTCCTAAATGGTTACAGTTTAGCTAGACTTTCCAATCTATATTTTCCAAAATAAGGAGGTTTTTGCTTTAATTTGGGATGTATAAAAGAAACACAGCTAGATATATAAGCATACAAAAAACCCCAAAGAACCGTGCTGGTAGGACTGCTGACTGATTTGTCAGAGACCAAACCCAAAATTATTTTGTGGCTTTTCAGAGCACAGAGTGTGTGGAACAATGTCAGCTGGCTGTTACAGAGGAGCTCCAAGCCAGGGAGAGTGTGACTGAGGAAGAGAAATTAATTAAACTTCAGCACTTTGAAACATATCTACTGACATGCAGCCTCCAGAAGCAAAGACAGTTTCCCCTATAGCCTCTCTTTCAGAGGGAGAGATTTATGGTTCTGTCATTCTCACCCACCTCTAGATCCTGACTGTCCAAGCAGAGCTCTGGAGCAGGTTTCTCTTTCAGAGAAGCAAGGACCTGGTCACTAAGTGCTGTTGTGGCTGAAGTATCTCTGCTGCTGGTACCTGTGTCAACCACATCCATCTCCTTCCCTGGTGCAGCCTTAGGTTCTGAAAATGAGCACAATCAGTACAGCTACTGACAAACACAGGACAGGAAAAGTACCCTGGACTGCTTTGATGGTTGTGAGATTAATAAAATATACATCCAATCTAGGTGCCTCCTGGAACTTAAGAAATCCATAATGTTAAGGAGGACTACAGGATCTAAGCTTTTCTCCCAGTATTCTGCTTTCAGGCTTTGCGAGAAATGTGACACGGCAGCAAGAGAGCTCTCTGGTCAGAGAATTCTTACACTATATACACTACACCTTCTCTTGCACCAACCCCATTTAACAGCAGCTGACCAAATTACTCACTCTATTTTATTTATTCCACTCGGCTAGGAGTTGAAAACCTCCTTCTCTAGCATATAAATGCTCCCTACCTGCAACTTTGCTTAAGATACTGTCTTCAGTTTTCAAGGCCTCCAGGTAGAGTTCTAGGAGCTGCCTTGACTGTCGCTCTTCTTCTCGTCTGTCCAGCACCTGCTGCAGAGTATCCTGCAGCACTTGGATTTTGGTTTCACTTTGGGCAAGCTCTTCAGCCAGGTCTGAGCGTGGCACATCAATAAGCACCTTAAAACATTGAGAGGGCTCCTGAGTAACTCATTTTGTGGCACTTATTGCAGTACAAACAGAATGTACAAACCCTCCTGAAAACAAGCATGTTCCACAAAGCTCCTTGTCATTGCAAGTCTATGACAAAGAGCCAAAAGGCATCCAAGAAAGTGTGGAATCATGTGCAATTTTAACAGAAATCTTGAAAACTAATGGCAAAGCACTACTTCACATGTGCATGGAAATATTCAAAGGAAAGGCAGTAGCCTAGCACCTGGGAAGCTGCAAATTGGGGAGGAAAAGGGACAGTTATTGTCATGCCTCACCACAGACAAGGTGTTGAGCAGTCAGAAACTTGAATCATTCAGCTCTGGAAAGTGACAGCAGTTCTTCAAACCTCTCTGAAGCAGACAGACCTGACCTGCTGCTCAGCCTCCCCTCTGGACATGTTACACCGGTGTCTGGCGTTAAGGAATGAGACAACCCCATATGCAATTTGGCCAAATCTCAACTGTTTCCCCTCCCAGAACTGGAAGAACACACAGGGAAGGATAGCTGGGGATTAAGAACACTCTTGGACACTTGACTATTTCCCTTCAAGGATAAGTTTGACTCTGGCAAGAGCCAAAAGCAGCAGCTGAATTAAGCCTGAGCTCTTGCTTATTGAATCTGTTCTCTGCTGAGATAAATGGTTGATGGGCAGATGCAAGGACATGGACTGCACATTTCCCCATTGTACCTGGAGGTCTTCTTCAGACATCAGGATGATATTGGACAGGTCATCCTTTAGCTGCCTGGCCAGTTGCTTCCACTTCTCAGCAGCACTGTCCACTTCATCCACAGACTCCGACAGCCAGGATGTTCCACTGTCTGACACAAGAGTCACCAGTTTCATGGGTCATTCCTGATCACCTGACACTGCCTAATGTCAGTAGATGTATTCTAAACACAGCTCCCCTTCCATGCTTCCTCACTCACAGCATACCTAAGCTTTTGCTGGTCCATTTCTCATCCTTGGCCAGTGCCACAAATTTTGTGTTAGATGGCAAACACAAGAAGTAATCTTCATCATCCACAATGGTCCCATCTTCTGCCAGTACCAAGGTGATGGGTTCCCGGGCCTTGTCAATAGCCAGAACACCACAAGCTGCAGAACAGAAAAAATACTTAACAAAACAATAGAAGTGTCACAGCACTGGCCTTCTATTACCTCCAGCACAAAGGACAGGCAACTCTCAGTGACTGAGGCTGGAGACCATAACCTGTGTCCTTACAGTGCTGCACATTAGCTGGGGCTCACAGTGGGTCCCAGCAGGTCCCACAGCAGGGTCCCACAGCGGGTCCCACAGCAGGGTCCCAGCAGGTCCCACAGCAGGTCCCATAGTGGGTCCCACAGCGGGTCCCAGCAGGTCCCACAGCGGGTCCCACAGCAGGTCCCACAGCGGGTCCCACAGCGGGTCCCACAGCGGGTCCCAGCAGGTCCCACAGCAGGTCCCATAGTGGGTCCCACAGTGAGGTCCCAGCAGGTCCCACAGCGGGTCCCAGCAGGTCCCACAGCGGGTCCCACAGCAGGTCCCACAGCAGGTCCCACAGCGAGGTCCCACAGCAGGTCCCACAGCAGGTCCCACAGCAGGTCCCACAGCGAGGTCCCACAGCAGGTCCC